AACCTCTTCTCTAAAACCACAGCCAACTGGAACTAAACAGAGATTAAATCATTAGGGGAAACACAATTGAATTGGAATTCAGTCTTCCTCTATAAGCTCTTAAAGGGATCCCAAACATAACCACCAAATGCTGCAAACTGAAAACAGAAATTTCCCTTAAAGGTCAGGTCATAATTTCTGCCCCTTGTCATTCTGTTCTTCACAAGATCCACATGTGCACTTTGCTCCTGGCCCAGGACAACCCAATCCGCTCTGACACGACTCCAGTTGGGCTCCACCTCGGAAACTCACTCTCCTCTAGCCTCCACAATTTTTGAATAACTAATGAAGGTGCCAGTTAAACGAGGAGCGAGGAAAAGGAACGAAGAGCCTCAGCAGGATGGCAACAATAAAACAATAACTGGCAAAACACGAAAACGCGTCACTGTTGAGGGTCAGAATCAGAATCCTGGCCTGAATATGAAATTCGGATTCGGATTTCATCCGACTGTCGACATTCATCTTGCCAACTGTCTGTCTGGCATTAGGAGTCCTGAGTCCAGTGTCCTTAGTCCTCTGTCCGCCGTCCAGGACTTATGCATCATTGTCAAAATATTAACAGCTGGCACAATCCAAGGATGCGGCCCCTCTCCTTTTCCCTCCGCCCATGCGAGCTCTTAAGCTTCAGATGATGATGAAAAATAGAAATGGAATTTAAGTATTGCGAGATACATTTTACTGGCCAGATGGACAACGGACAAATGGGTCAAATCCTTTCTGATTCGGACTCGCTTTCGTCTTGGAGGCGTCAAGAAGTTTGCCTTCCTCTTAGAACCTCTGCTTGTCCTGCATCTGGAGTACATAAATCTACTGAAAAGGATGTTTACCCATTTGCATGGGCATGTGGAAAGCTGCTTAACTGAGGGCTTAAATAATAACAGATATTTATAAATCAACACTGAAAGGATTTCTGGAAACTCATTAGAAGGAGAGTTTCCTCAGAGAGACAAAAGAGAGAGAGATATCTTCCGACTTCTCCTTCTGATTTGAGTTGAATGCATTGCCGTGTCAGTGGCAGGAATCCCTCTGAATATCGATTTCCATCAGTGGAGTGCAGCAGACAGGAGTAAAATGGGATTTAATGGGTGGCAAAAGGGGAACTGAATGACTGTCGTCTGGATTCTCATGTGAGACGGGCAGTGCTAAGCAAATTTGCTTGCTAGGAAATTAAAAACAAACAACAAAATCAAACATTAATGTTCTGTAACGCGTTTCAACGATATTCAATCGGATCAGTATCAAAATAGAAGGAAAAAGTGCAGAGCAAACAGAGCAATTTAGAAAAATCATTCAGAACTTTGGTTCAGTTGGTTTGTTTTCTGTCTGCGCGTGGAAACAAATGCGAAAAAAGTGTCACTTATTCACTCCGCTTTAGAAAAATACCTCCAAATAGAGTCGTCTACATTTCCATTTCACTTCGCTTTTCCCCAACCTTTTTACTCCTCTTCATTCTTGTTAGTCTGCGACGAGGCTGGAAATAAAAACCTTTCTGGCATTCAAATGTTATTTTTGGCGCAACATTTGTGGAATTCTACCCACTTTTTTCCCTTGGAAACTTCAAGCCGGGGAAAAGCGTGTGAAATGCGGAAGTATTTGTTGCTTGTTGTCACTGAATTTTGGGAAAGGGAAACCGCAGCCACAAAAAACGACTTCAAACTTTTCCCTTTTTTCAGATGAAGATTCCTTGCCCTTAAAATCCGGGTTAAATTGCCCCTCGGCTTTGGAGGCCACTTGAGTGCTTCCTTGATTGATGGAAGTCCTTGGGAGTGGGGTAAGTACCTTTTTCCAGGTTGCAGCTCCTAATTTCATTGTTCATTGATGAGCACCTGCACCTGATGATCAAATATATACACTCTGGGATCGGGCATAATGCGGCGATTTCTGGCGCAGAGACCCCAACAATAATTTCGATTACGGAATTTGTGGCCCTAAATTCGGGCAGCAGATGCAATTAAATGTTAATCGATTGAGTTTGTGTTTTGTGGGAGGAAGGTGACCTATGCCACGCCCCTTCACAACTGCATACTTGAGTGGGTGGGATAATTGAAGAGGGGAGGAGGACATTGACCCTTTGCCTCTCAAAGGGACGAAGGGTGTTTCCATGTCAGAGGCGTAATTAATTGTAAATAATTGTGCATGTGTCAACTGCAATTTATTTATTTGCCAAAGACATCCGCCAACAACAAAAGGATAATGGGAAATAGAAGGAAATAAAGTTTAGATTGATCTTTACTTGGGTCAGTTTAAAGTTGCCCAAATCATTGGTATGCAGAACATTCTCCAGAATGGTCAATATTAGGGACATCTTAGCCTGACCCTCATCTAGAGTTTCCTTTCCCGGCTATAAAAATAACTTATGGGTAGCATATTGCGCATACGCCGCGTTGTCTTAGTGCTCTTAGTAATTGCCATACAGCAGAAGCGGTATCAACTTGTTTCCCGATATTTGCATGTCAAACGCGTGCTAATTTCAAATTACTGCGACACTTCAACTTCGTGTTCTCCCCCGTTTCGCATCTTACCTTTTTATACCCCGTTTCCACCAGCTCGAACGCATTATTTATGACTTGTACGCTTTCTGCGTCATTTTATAAACATTTTCCGAACATGCTCACCGACCTCGGGAACTCGGAAAAGTTCTCGGAGGCTGCAGCAGCATATAAAATGTATAAAAATAAAAAGCGGGCGACTTTATGTTTTATTTATGAGCCTCGCACACACAAAAAGTTCGCACGGACTCCAGACTCCACAATGCGTGTAGCCTTTTAATGTGACCAGATCAGGGGAAGTGGCAGAAGTAAAGACGCTACAAAGTGTTTGGATTAGTATCGATTCTCCGGTATGCAGATGCCTCATTATCCCTCAAGTGCCTGCCATATGTTCGTGATAAAGGGGTCAAGGGTTAAGTCGAGTTCCCCGAGCAACTTTGGCTAACCGCAAACCACAAATCGCCGTTTAAATATTAATACATCAATCCACTTAATATGCGAGTTTGTGCCATCGAATGATGTAATAAATATAAAAGGAGCAGCCCGCCGACACTCGGATAAAGATGATGCCCATATGCGGATGCTGTAAATCCTTCTCCAGCTCCATCTGCAATGTCTGTGGGAATGGGAATGGCCAGAGTCTCTCATCCACTTCACTTTATGATGAGTTTTTCCCCGGCTGGGTGATGGATGCACAAGTACACACACCATAAAGGGACCACAAAGAGATTCTCCATTAAAGTTACAGCCAGACTTCAAGGGATTTTCATATTTTTCGGGCTCTTGGTTTCGGGCCATGGCCTTTTCCTTTATTGCAGCTGGCAAAAGTCAACCGCAATATGCCAGAAAAAGCAAACAAGATAGTAGTAATACGGCGAAGACAAAACAAATTTCTGGCATAAGCGCGCACTTCCTGAAAATCCCCCTCAGCCTCAACAGAAACTGGCCTTCGCTGCGGTGGCATAAAGGAAGTGGGATCCTTGTTTACCCGAAGAACTTATAAAGAAAACATCAACTTGGATTTCCGACACAACTGGCAAAGGGAATGGGAACAACAATACCAGGAAAGCAACGAAAATCAACAACATCCTAACCCTCGAAACAAGCAGATATCAAAGCGAAATTTTGCATTAAAACTTAAGAACAGGATCCGAGATATAGGGGGGAATATGTACAATATTCTTCTTGGCCAGAGATTTCGTAACATTCTGAGTGAGTGCGTATTTGTGGGTGCGCTTGTGCGTTATGATTGCACGAGCAAAACCAAAACCAAATACAAATCTTGTTGTCGTAGGCGGTAGTCGTTGATAAAAAGTCAAAAAACGAAAAGGAAGAAATAATGGTTTAGAAATATTGAAAAGCACATTAAATAAAATTGTTTGAATTGTTATAAAAAATTCACGAAAATATTTCCAAAACACATAATTAACAGTGAATAATGTTTTTTATACGGTGTGTTTGATTTATGTTATTTGTATGTTATTTATGTTATTTATGTCAACATTTTTTATTCAATACTGTAAATATCGGGTCACTTAAAACAAGTAAATTAAAACGTAATTTATTGTTTATTTGAATCAAATATTTAACTTCACTAAATTAAGAAATATATTTTAAATGTAGATATTATTGCTGAAGAAGTACTCAACCGTATAAAATAAATCTATATGGGTTACGCTTTAAATTCCGAATAAATATTTGCTGCGCCTTCCAACCACCGCAGTTACGTTTGCTCACCTTCGGCCGGCTAAAAGCAATCTCAATCCCCACATAAATCCCCATTCAAGTTCAAGTCAACCCTTATGGAGGCCTAAAACCGCAGCGTAAACCAAACGAGGGAACAGCATTTGCCGGTTCGCTCGTTGGAATTAATTTTGGCTTTCACATTCTTGGCCAATGAGATTTATGCGTTGCTTACAAGTTGTTGTTCCAGTTGTTGTACTTTTGGCTTTTTTTACGCTCTTTTCACCCACATTTTTGTCCCAAAGAGCCAAAGTTCGAGGGATATACAAAGGAAAAAAAAGGGCGCAAAATGTTGTTTTGATTTGGGTTCCGTTTTCTACTCGAATTTCTTTCTCAGCGGAAAGCCGAGCACGTGTTTCGTTCGAAAACGAATGACGCCTGCGCTAAAAACCTTTTCGAAACCTAACGAATATACTCATGAACGAAGTCCAAAAACGAGTGAATACGATATAAGGACTTCGGATTTTGGGAACCCGAAGCTTTTTTCCCTCTGCCAATGAAGCGAACCATGTAGCTGCACGATTTGGAATCAGTTCGACTCGAACCTGCTCCGGAAGTGGAAGTCAGTCCGCGAGTTTCCATCGAAAGGGAAAATCCCAAATACCTCACAATAAATAAATCATCACACATCAAGGCATCAAAAAAAAGAGTTAATTACAAATTACTCACAAATAAAAATTACGTTTAGTGCTGGTACTAAAAAATACAAAAAGTAATTAAAATTCAATTAACCGCCAAAGTGTTTAACAATTAAAATAAATCGTGTGTGAGTGCGGTTGGCCATAAAAATAATTCGTGCCGCAACAGCAGGCGACAATAAATTTTGCGGTTGGATCGTTAAAATATATTTCGTTTTACCTGCAGAATGCAGCATTACACGGGGAAAAGGCGAATGAGAACGAGGAGTTCACTTCTTTTTTGTTTCCAGCAATTTGCATTTGGGGGGAAAATTCATTAAAAATACAGCTGAAGCTCAAGACGAGAGGCGAAAGACGAGGCAGCTCACTCAGCCCTGTGCCACATAAATTTCACGGCAATCAGCCGGCGCTGCAAGTCATCCAAACTTCATTTGTTGCTACTCGGGCTCGGTACTCGGTGTTCTGGGCTCTGGATACTCCTGCAGGATCCTGCAGAGCCCGGCTCCTGCAGCTGAAATATTGCTTCCATTATTTATGTTAAGTTTATGCAACATTCTCCCTGCTGCTTCCCAGCTGCAGCAGCACCAGTCCTTCCTCTCTTGTTTTTAATATCCTTCAGCTTGTAAAGGAATTACTCCTGCTCAAGCCGGCAACTAAGAGAAAACTCAAGTCTCACGGCATTCGGCACTCTGGCTCTGGCTTTTCCCCATTTTTATGGTAGTCTCCTTCTATTTTTGGTTCGTCTTTTCCATCATTTGCCTCGTTATTCAAACATCATCATCTTTCTGGTTCATTGCACTAGGCGTGGGGATAGCAGGGATAACAAGGAGCGCGGTGTTATTGCCATCGAGTGCATTAATAAATCAATTGTTTTTTCCTTTGCATCTCAAAGAGGTCGCTTTGCTCCGGGGATTGACAAGTTGGAAATCTGAAATGTAATCGCAGCCAGACGAAGCAATTTGCCAAAGAAATGAACTCTAATTGGGTTCACTTGGAAAGTTATAAAGGCAAAAGGATAAAGGCGGTGGAGAAATTGCAAATTTTCTACTTGAACACTTGAATAAATTAAAAACCCAGAACAAAACGCTTACAAAAGAAGCTTAGCAATTAATTTTAATTATAAATTACACGTAAAAAATTATTAGATGAAATATTTTTTAAATAATAATTTAAAATGACTATTAGTGAAAGTTGAAAAAAAAAACAGAAAAAAAGAGTTACAAAAATCATCTTTAAATATTTCTTTTTTTTTCAAATTATTAATTAATTTATCATTTTCCATGTTATTATGGGAAATAGTATTTTAAATACCAATTCCCTCTAAGCTCACAGCAACCTACTTCCAATCATTTTTAATGAGGCAAAATATTTTCAAGTGAAAAAGCAACCTTCAAATTCGTGGAAACTAACCATAAGCTGTTCGGTTACCAAAATGGACCACAAGAAAATGTGTGACTGTGTGCTTTTGCCTCAAGCTCATTAACTGCTTGGGGCTCTCCTGCTAGATTGTTATTTTTCCCCCAGCGCGAACAAAGGATAATAGGGGGAAAACAAGAACATTTACTAATTAGCACTACCAGGCTGCACACAATGAATGTAAAATTATCAAATCGTTTTTCTGTGCTCCCTTTATTATTTGCTTGTGGTATTAATAAGGAAATAAAGGAAAGGATTCGTTGGTAGCCGTTGTCGAGGATGGGTATGACGTATTCATGGCAGCGAAAGAAAAACGAATTTCAATGCATTTTCTAGCTGCACTTTATGACATTTGTCTGTTTGCCCTACACTAATAAAATATTTATTTTATATAACAAAATAACAAGTCAATTTTGCAGTTTGAATGAAGAGTGCTCCCCAAATTATCTTGGATACAAACATTTTCCATAAAATAATAAAAAATAATAATAATTTTTGCACTCATATTTTCAAAATTTTGTCTGAACTTGCCCCGAAGTTCTGTTTTTAAAAATGTGTTTATCTTATAAGTCTTAACTCTATAAAATGTTTGTTTAAATTGAATTAAAAATGTTTTTTATATTTATTTAAAACTTTTTTTTTAGTTCAATACTTTTTTACCAAGTTGAAAGTGTAGTGTATTCAGATTCAGACATTTGCAAACAATTCCATTTGCGCTGGCTGTCAGATCTGCTGGAATTGCTCAGCTGCCTGGCCGACAATTCTCCTGTCGCCGAAAGAGAGACAGCCTCAGTGGCGAGAAGGAGACGGCTTCAGCGAGGAGAAGAAAGAGACGGATGGTGACGGGCTGAAGGAGATGACAGCCATGAATGCCATTTCTTCTGCTACCTCCGAGCATAATTTACATTGTATTCCAAGTTGAGTGTGCAGTTGAGGCTGTCTTTTATGGTTTGTCTTGGCTCGCTTCGTTTTGGTTTGGATTTCCTCGCTCTCAGCTTTTATCCTTTTCTTTTTCCCTTTTTTCTCCGGCGAACAGAAAATTCCACTTGTCACAATCCGAGGAATTTTGCGAGTGAAATGCTTTCTTCGAGTTTCGCGAACGGAAGCGATGGTTAGCTTCAATTTATACATGTCGGCTTGTTAAGTTGTGATTGCGAGCGCTGGCCTAAAAGTGGACTTCTGGCGTACTGATTGCATCATAATTACCCAACTGCCTCCGTCCCTGATTTTTCCCCCTAAGTGCTTTTTAACGAGCTCTCTGCGGTTGTTTGGCTGCTGCCGTTTGTTGTTCGTTTGGAAAAAGGGACGAAAATGGGAAAACAAAAAATTTCAAACATTTGTTTTTCCTATCCCACACCCCATCGCCGATTTTCCATCGTAATTTTCCCCCAGTGAACCAGTCATGGCCATTTCGCTTTCAGCCGCTTTCCAAATCCTGTCGTAATAATCTGCTACATGGACCCCATAATTTGTAATTTCAACCTAATTACTTCGAGCCCAGACGAAAGGGGGTTAGGCGGTTAGGATCGGCTAAACAATGTTGTCGGCAATAAAATGTCAAAAACCAAAGCAAGGCAACATAACGCCCATTTCGTCTGAATCATATGCACACCAGCACACACATGAAGACTGAAAGGACACGCCTCCTCACACGCACACAGTGCGTATGATTTTGGATTTGTGTCCTTTGCTGGTGACATATGTTAATGATCTGTCAGCGATTTCTAGGTCATTTCAATTGATTTTTACGCCTGTCGCGTTATTTTCGTTATTTAATTAAAAATAATGGAGAAATATAGGAATGTATAATTATTATAATGATATGGAAATTTATTTTCTAATTATTTACCTCATTTCTATATTTGTTAAAAGCATTAGCAAAATATAACCTGTATATATATACGGAAATGGATGGTTGTACCGTTGTTTCTTATTTGTAATTTAATTGGATTCCCAAAAATAAAAATAAAATTCCTTAAAAACAGCATTAAAAACATAGAGTTCTCAAATTTATAAAATCTATTTAAACACATCATACATAAATATGCGCTTAAAATTACTGTGGCCAAGCCAAATAAAATGTCATCAGACATTGTTGATTTGATTGAATTCCACTCTGTCATAAATCCAATAGTTTCATGCTTCAACGATTTTAATAAAAAATGCCATCTATTGACATTTCAATACATAAACTTTCATACGAATAGATATTACAAGTTTTCAAATAGTTTCACAATAAATAAATGTGTATAAAAAACCGAAATTAATAAATGCATGTGCATTAATATTTAAATCCTTTGTCAGACAGTGAACGATGAAACTAGCAAAAAACTTCGCAGCAGAAACATATTTATACCCGTTACTCGTAGAGTAAAAGGGTATATTAGATTCGTGCAAAAGTATGTAACAGGTAGAAGGAAGCGTTTCCGACCCCATAAAGTATATATATTCTTGATCAGGATCACTAGCCGAGTCGATCTAGCCATGTCCGTCTGTCCGTCTGTCCGTCTGTCCGTCTGTCCGTCTGTCCGTCTGTCCGTCTGTCTGTCCGTCTGTCTGTCTGTATGAACGCTGAGATCTCGGAAACTATAAAAGCTAGAAGATTGACATTTTGCATGAAGATTCTAGGAGTTCCTACGCAGCGCAAGTTTGTTTCAAAAGGGTGCCACGCCCCCTCTAACGCCCACAATCGCATATATACGATTTTAAAAATTTCATTATTTTGGAAAAGTAAAAATGCAGTTTTATTGTGTTTATCAATACCTATCGAAATGTAGAAGAAATTTTTTAAATCGGACCATTCGTTAAAAAGTTACGGCGGATCAAAGTTTTTCTCCATCTCCTTCGCACTCCCTTTAGCTGAGTAACGGGTATCTGATAGTCGGGGCACCCGACTATAGCGTTCTCTCTTGTTTGTTTTATTTTCGGCAGAATCAAATATTTATATATTGGAGCGCCAACTCAGTTGAATTGAGTAAGTGGATCAACTGAATCTCGGTCGCTGGAGAGGAATTGCGCGGATGGGCGGGAGGCGAAGTCAGGATGAGACTGGCAATGCAGGAAGCTGATATGGAATGTTCATTCATATTTCATTTCGCGAAATTGTTCGCGACCAAGTCAGAAGAGTGCAGAGAAATGTCAGCCTAACCAGTCAGTTGAAGGGGATTTCAATGAAAAATACAAGACACGAAAACAGATGGCTTGAGGAAGGACTTTTGGATATCCTAGGAAGTCCGAGAGATTTTGGGAAGTTGTATTCAGAAAAGAAAACATTAAATATGATTTGTTATAAATGTTGCATTGCAAAAGATTATAGTTATGATCAAGGGAAATACTATTTTTTTTATTTTAATAAAATTGCTTGAGCTTAAAGTATATAAATTGAAAGTACCTATATAACAAATCTTGCAAGAAAACACGAAATAAAATAACAATATTTTTCTTACAAAACAATTATATTACTTTAGTCCAATAAATGACAATAAACTTAACAAAAGTTTTCACACCCAAATTTCCTTGTACGAGAAAAGGGTAAAATATGCAACAAAGGCCACTGAAGTGCAATGAAATTGTCGTCATATAACGCTGGTAACAACAGTTACAACCGGAATCAGCGGTCACCATGACGTTAACCGTAAAAGTAACTGTTACAATGACACAGCCGTTACCGCCGGCCATCCATCGTCGAACAACGCATTTCTGGGGCCATAAAATAGTAACATCAATGGAACGCATTCATACGTGGCCATATTCGTGCATGAATGTCGACTGGCCGGAATAAAGTGCTATTAATAATAAATGTTGCATTGGCAGAGGTCGGAGGCAAAAGCGAGTGAGTTGGCCAAATGAACTTGGCAAACCGAGAGCCCGAAAACAACCAACGGCCAAACAACCAACAAACCGGTCATAACCCTTCCTCATAGCAGGGGATTCCCCGCCATGAAAACCGAGCTGCATTGCGTACGCCCATTGTTTTCATACCAGCAAAAGGGGGTACGGTACTATGATTGCAATTTGAAATATGCTACGATTCTTGGGAATGACTAGCAAAATTCCCCAGTGACAGATCATTACGGTTCTCAGGACAAAATAATAACACAGCCTAGAAAAATTACACTTTTAGCTTTCTAAAGAATTAATTGAGCTCACTAAAAATAAGATAGGTTTTCAGTTGCTAAATTTATATTTATTTTATAATTTTAATTAATAAAGATACAAGAATATCCCCATATTGCTTATTCTTGTTGTTCAAGAAAAAGCGCATAAGAAATTACACAAGTTCAAAAAGTTTTGGAACAAACATTTAGTTTATCAAAAGTATTTGTTGTATATTTTATTATGGTTTATAAATATTTTTGTGGTTTACAATTATTGAGAACAGCAAATTTCTTTTTTTAAAGATAGAAACTTGTAATTTATAATAAAAAAACATTTTTAGAAAAAAACATTTTAATTTACAAAAATACATCAAAATTATATTCTCTATGATGCTAGTTATTTTTAGTGTTATTCTTTTAAATACTTAATATATCATGTTAGTAGCTTAAGGGTATCCATAGTTTCAAACCCTTTTCATAGGCTTGTTGCTGGTGTAAATTGTAGTCAACATACAACATTGAAAAGCCCAGGCAACAACAGTAAAGGCAGGAGCACAATTCCGAATAGCAGGACGAGTGCCATAATAATAATAAATGCCATAATCCCCTGAAATCGGCGCTCCTCTGTGGCCATTTCGCCGGCCCTTTCTCCGCTTTCTCCATGTGTGTTGGCTGCATTTTTATTTTCATTTTCATTGTTTCGTCTGCAGAAACAACAACCGCGGCAACAATAACAACAGCAACAATGGGCAAATGCAATTCGACGCGTCAAGTGAATTAAGCGATTTTTAAAGCTTTACGCTAAATGAAATTTGAATTGCCAAAGTGTTCACTTGTGTGTGCAAATTAAATTACGCAAATCAAATAAATGTTTTAACGAAATAAAAACAATAAAGCCAAAAGAAAAAAGAGAAAAAATCAAATAAAAATGCTGTTCGAAAAGTACCAACTATATACAGTGTAAATAATTCAACGAATAACATTTAGCACCGGGCATAGATAAAATTAAACAGAGAAGAAAGCAAACAAACGGAACAACGAAAATAATAAAATGTTTATTTTAACGGTAATTAAATTGCTGCTGATAGCATTGAATATATTTCCCAGTCGCTTCACAAATCGACGGATTATGTTCCTCATCTACATGACAAATCTGGTGACGCATGGTAAGCATTTGAAAATTCATTGTTTTTATTTGTTTAATTTTTTGGTTGAGCCAGGAGAATTCAACTAAACTCATTTAAATTAAAATTCCAATAAATATATATTTTTCTGGGAACTAGCATTTGCTGAAAAAAATTAAGCTTGTTAATGCTGGGATTAGTTCGTGATAAGTCGATGATATCATTTCGCTTTCAAAATATTATCGTGGATTTTTATTGTTTGATGAATATGTGTTAAAATTTTATTTTTGTTTAAATGTCATCTCTATTTTTTAAAGATTTGTCTTGTGTGTTTAAATTCTAATGTTTTATAAACTTTTTTTAATACGCAATATCAAAATGAAATCTATATCACTTAGCAAACTGAGACGTGCTTTTAATATCACTAAGCTCTTCTTCTCCATATAAACTCTTCTCTTGGCCACATTTTCCGTGCGAAATCTTTAATAAGCATTTCCATACGCTCATATTTCCGCCACCGAATACGTGTTGTTTCCCATGTTGAAACTGTCAGATCTGGCCATAATTTAATTAAGAAAATGAGACCTCAAAACGTTGGCAACGCCGCTTGTCCTCGCTGCGAACCCAAAACTCCAACCCGAACGCAGGTGAAAGCCGTGAACCGTGAGACAGGTGCAATGCTGGTGCCTACCGGCCAAAAGGGGCGTACCAGGGAATATGGGACGGGGGGCGTGCCCCGACTGCATGACGCAGATAACACAGCAACACGGGCCCCCATCGCCTTGGCCAGGAGGTAGTCCATGTTTTTTATACCCGACACCCGGTAGTGTTCAAGGGTATATAGCATTTCCAATTGGGATTATTTTTAAAGATTTTAAGGGCATATTTTATTGGTATAGTTGCCTCAATAACCCTCCAATAAAAAATAAAATTATTTTTAGTAATAATAATTATATTATCTGGAAACCGATTCTTTAAAATGACGATTTAAAAAAAAACATTTTATGTATCCATATTTCATACATATCGTTTGTGAGTGTAATAAGTTTTTTGGATTGATCCTTCATTTTTTTCAGGACTAAAAAATTAAAGGACTAAACTAAAAGGATAATATAATTGGAGTAAAATGAATTTTTTTAAATAAAAAAAATATTCCATGTTGCTACAAGAAGTAGCAAATAGTTGCAACACAGAAAGCGTTATCCTGTTACCCATCAAGGGGAAGCCAGGTATCCCGCAGTCGTTGTTGAGAATGGTGTTTATATTATTTTCGCTTTTTGTGCCGCACTTCCGCGGCAAAGACAGCGGCACGAACACGAGCTGAATGCATAGAAAAGGAAAGCAGAGACAAAAGTTGCATCAGGCAGCCTCAACAGGCAGAAAGTACGTGCTGCCATTTCGCCCCACTTTCCACCCCTCATTTTCTGCTTTCCATCCCCCTCCCCTTCGAGATAAAAAATTGCTTTGTTTAATTATTTCATAATGACGCTGCGGTTGCCACTGTAGCTGCTGTTGATTATATTTGGCCAGTGGGTCAGGGATTTCCGGCAACAGCTGCTATTGCTCCTCCATCAACATTTGCACTTCTTTATTTTTATTACCCGGCACACTCCGCTGGGCTTTAATGACTTCGTTATGGTTGCCATGGCTCCAAGTACTGGGGCCCTGGGCTTGTCTTCCTCGCAAATTACACTATGCAGCATCAAAAATGAACCTCGATGGATGCTATATTTTTGGATTCGTTACGAATTCCCAAGTTAAACTGCGTTTTCCAAAAAGTTCCCCGACGCAAGGATTCTTAGCAAAAGGGCCTCAAAGTTCGAAAAATGCTGAAATTGGCCAACTTTGCGGAGCTCTCAGAGGCAAATGGATGCATGGCTTGGTTCGAAGTTAAAGTTTTTTAAAAGATACACCCTTTATCTTTCAAACCCCATACATAAAATAATTTTAGGATTTTTTTTAAGGCAGAAATAAATTCAAAAAACATAGTCAAAAAACTGAAAAACATACAGCTGCGGTCAAAATAGTAGCAGTGTTGCCCCCTTGTGTTTTTAAAAGTTTGATGTTGTAATTTTTTCTTATCCAATTAGTCTAATAGTAAAATTATAATCAATACAATATTACCAGGAAAAGATCAATTACAACAACAAACTTTTAAATACACAGGGCGGCAACACTACTACCATTTTGACCGCTGCTGTATACTTTTATGTTTTTTGACTATGTTTTCTAGAATTTGTTTCTGCCTTAAAAAAATCTTAAAAATTTTTAAAGTATAGGGTTTAAAAGATAAAGGGTGTATCTTTTAAAAAACTTTAACATCGAATCAAACCATGCATCCATTTGCCTCTGAGAGCTCCGCAAAGTTGGCCAATTTCAGCATTTTTCGAACTTTGAGGTCCTTTTGCTAAGAATCCTTGCGTCGGGGAACTTTTTGGAAAACGCAGTTTAACTTGGGAATTCGTAACGAATCCAAAAATATAGCATCCATCGAGGTAAATTTAAAAAGCACTAAAAATGCTGCACAGTGTTATTCATACGTACTTAAGAATTTTTCACAAACTATTTTTGGCAGAAAATTTCCTTGCCATTTCATTAAGAATTTAAGGGGAATTTAAGGAGCCAAGAAATGAGGAGTGAAAGCTGATCGAAACTTAAGATTGTCTTTGGTTTATTATTTAATTAATAGTATTTAATTTATTTAAAAATACCTTTTTATTAATTTTATTTAAAAAGATTATTTTTTATAAATAATAAAAAACAATATAAATAGCATGTAACTTTCAGCCGATTTACATAATTTAAATATTTGTAATTCTTTTTAATAACAATTTTTAACTTAATATTTTTTATTTATTAAAAATAACTAAAAGGTATAAAATCCCAAAAAATATAAAAACCCTTAAAACGTCTGTCTTGTAGTTTTTTGTTGGTATAATTTATAGCTTAATACAAGCCAGCTTAAGCAATTTTCCGCGTAATAATCAGAAGCCTTCAATTATTCCCTTTGGAACCCTTGACAATCGTAATTCGAGCCTTATTAAAGCCATGATTTAGCTCAACTAAGCTTCGTCGATGGCCAAAGGGAAATTTCCTTGGTCAGGCGAGGAATTAGGTTTCTCCAGTTGACTCTTTCACTCATTAACTAACCAACTGACTTTCCCCACCACTTTTCATTCGCAGTCATGATGGATGAGCCACGCTTCGCCCAGCCGATACCAAACGTCACCGTCGCCGTGGGTCGAGATGCCAATCTGCCCTGCGTTGTGGAGCATTTGGGTGGCTATAAGGTGAGAAACGGGAAACCCGGGGGAATTCTGAATGGGAAGAACGGGGGGAAAGTGTCATAAATCGTGCGTAAACTGAACGCCACTTGATGAAGGAGTTTGCAACCGAGACGGACACTGTCAAAAATCAATTTCACAAATTGCAAAAGGACCGAAGCGACTGGCTGACTGACAGGCAGGCAGAATGACAGACTTTCTGGCCACTCAATTGGCAGCTAGAGATAAAGGAGGCCTATCAAAATTAAACTCCGAAATTCAAAGGAATTTCTGGACTCACCGTCGATGACTTTTAGCTGTCATTAGCAAGTCGATCTTTTGTTTGCCCGGAGGAGGCAGAATTTATGAGCCCTGGCCTGCATATATGCATTTAATCCACAATAAGCTAAGGATACAGGACCTCTGATGCTCTGCTGCTCTCTCGGCCAAACAAAATGGCTAGAAAATCACTTATCATTTATCTCCCTCAGCTGCTGGCACACAGCGAGCTCATAACAAATCACAAATATTTACTCGCCATATCAACTTCATATAAAACACTGTCCGCAGGACCAGCAGCAGGACCCGGCTAGGACACGAGTCCTTGCTCCTTGCTCTTATTGGACTTTTGTCAACATTGGCCTGGACATGGGGAAAATGGCAGAGTAGAGGACACTAAAGCGAGAAACTCATTGCTGTCAGTGCCGGTGCTGGGGGCAAATTTGAAAAGTTTGCAGCCGACTCAAGGCCGGGAAAATCCTTCCACCAGAAGGAATCCGTCTCCCTAACACAGAGTAAAAAAATTTGGTACAGGGAAATTAGGGGAAAATTACTGTCGCAATTATCAAAGGTTGAACGAATTTATCAAGAACATTTAACATGCATTTTTAGAAAACCTTTAATGATCTCTAATGGAAATCGTCTACCTTAAAGACACACAATATTTATTCAATTAACTTATTTGGTTACGAGCCAATCGCAAACTATTTATAAATTTCTTTTGGAACTTTTGGAATTATACAAAAATAATAACGTTTAACACTACTTTAAAATGCAATTAAATTACAAGAGAGTTTAGACCCCTTTACAAATAAAAATATTAAATGTTAGAAAAATATAAAACAACTTAGCAAATCAAAAAAAATATAATAAAATATTTGTTAAGATATATAATTTCAAAAACCAATTGATTTATAGAAATTTATTAAAAATTTACCTCTTTTGAGTAGATATAATACAGATACCATTAAATAAACGCTATATCTCTCGGTGTACCATGTCTTCGGGGGGCAAAGGCAAAATGAAGTCCAAAGAAAGTGCGAACAGAAGGAGCGAGAAAAAAGTGTATTAAAAATGCGGAAACAGCTGTCAAGCTGGCTTTATCCTCGGGTCCTGCGTCACAACATGACGTTCATTTATAATGGCAGGGACTCCACATGTGTTTTAGCTGGGCATCGAGTTCGTAGTGTGGATAGTTGGGTCTTTAAAGAAGGCCTTAAGGTCTTTCGGCATTAACTAGAAAATTGAGCAAATAATGGGAATCAATTTAGAAAATTAAACACATTTTCCAGGTGGCTTGGATTCACATAGACAGGCAAATGATACTGACCATCCACCGACATGTGATATCAAGGATTCCGCGATACAGCATCACCTACACGGACAACACGTGGCTGCTGCACGTGAATCAGGCTCATCAGGACGATCGAGGCTACTATATGTGCCAGGTCAACACGAATCCGATGATTAGCCAAGTGGGCTATCTACAGGTGGTCGGTGAGTATTTCCCGTTTAATCAACTAGAGATTGCGATTTCAATGTGTGTCCCCTCACAGTGCCTCCAAACATTTTGGACATCGAGAGTACGCCGTCGTCGGTGGCGGTGCGTGAAAATCAAAATATCAACATGACATGTCGGGCCGATGGCTTCCCGGCCCCGAAAATCATTTGGCGGCGTGAGGATGGTGAGGAAATTGCCGTCGAAAAGAAGAAGAAAGGTAGGTGGGATGAGGGGAATGGGAAATTTCCTTGGGTTGATTTAGAAGATTTGTTATTCTCATTTACGAATTTAAATGAAACAGCTATGAAAATTTTTTTTCATACGAACAAAACATTTAAAACTTAAGATTTCTTCAATCTGTTAACTTTATTTTAATTATTTTCCTAAATATTTTTAAAAATTCAGTTCTTATTTTAAATTTTGACGATATTAATTTATTTTAGTTACAGAACCTCCACTGAAATTATTAGTAATTCAAAATCTTAAGAGAAAATAAGTTTAAAATGGTTTAAAATATCAAAAAAAATTCCGAATATGAATATGAATATGCACTTTGAATTTCGTTTATTGTCTTATAAAGTTTTAATAAATAAATATCAAATTATGTTTAGTAAATATATTTACATTAACATATATTTATATTTTAAATTGCAAGTCTTTAATAAGGCCAACTATTATTGGACAACTTGTCAATTGAAAAACTTAAATTAATGAACTCGTAAATCACCCCTCTAAACATCGCACCTTTCAAACTATTTCCATTTAAAATTCGCAATGCTTTTGGACACGTTTATTTCCATGTCCCGGACATCCACCTGCCGAAACCAAAAACCCCGTCGCCAATAACAGTTCTCGTGTACGACGGCGATGTCCTGCCGCTGACCAAAGTGAGCCGGAATGAAATGGGCGCCTATCTGTGCATCGCCACCAATGGAGTACCGCCCTCGGTGTCCAAGCGGATCATTCTCGATGTGGAGTGTGAGTATTCGACCTGATAGTCCCCCAACCAAATGAGGAATGAAAACTGTAGTGTAATCTGTGGGAAAAGGAGGGTGCATATTATATGAGACCCGTTAGTTGGCTGCCTTTGTCAATTTAGTTGAAACACGCGCGCGCACTTACCGGAACGCGAGGAGGCCATTCATCCAGCCAGGCTATCCATCCATCCATCTATCTATCTATCCGGCCATCCCGGCTTACTGGCATCCATCCAGCCATCCCGCCTTTCAGCCATCCAAACTATCTGGTTTTCGTGCCATATTCCTTTATGGAGGAGCTGCGCATCTCCTCCTGTTTGTACCTGCTGCTCATCAATTTAACTGCACGCTCGTTGCTCCGGCAATGAGTGACAAACGCAGCTAAGCTGCCGCCATCTAATGCAGCTGATATATAACAACGGATACATGTATAGAATACACGGGGAGAAATATTTTTAATTAACAACTTTTAAGAGCAAAATTAAATAAAATACGTTTTTTTTTATAAAGTTTCAAAATAAGTTAAACAATTTTTATAGATAAAACTTACAATATCATATTGAAATTATAAGAATTCGTACAAAACTGTTTTAAATCCGATAAATCTCTCGATGTGGGACTCTTAGAAAATGATTTTAAGAATACTATAAGAAACTGTTTCGGTTTAGAAAAAGATTAGTACCCAGATTTTTTGTAATTGTAATTTCCTAATTAAATTATTTTTGACAAAAATCATATTTGATGAAAGCAAATAGAATGGAAACTACAGTGTGGGTTTTTCACAAATATTAGAGTCTTGCACCCATACATTTTTATGATAATTTTGAAAAATATTTCCAAAATATATATTTTGAATAGCAATTTTTTCCCAGTGCTTTTTGGAACAGGAGATATGGTGTCCTGTCGCTGGGCGTAAAAGTTACGCTGCCATCGCACGCCGTGCGCCAGTAAACGCTTGTTAATCCTAACGAGTTTCAGCCAGCCTTCGCTGCTCTCTTTTCCCCACCTAACTGCCCCCCTTTTGCGCCCCCGATCCACCAATTTCGCCCCCCTTGACAATAATTCACGTCACGTACCTGCAATAAAGTCACTTGCCGGCGTTGCACGTATGACTTTGACGGCGTTTTTCTGTTTCGCCGTTTCATCGTGTGTGCGCTGCGCCTGTGTTCGTTTTTCTCTCTATTTTATTATGAACGGTTTTGTGCGTGGATGAACCGAGGGGCGTTAAAAGGGAGGGGGCGTGGCACCTGGAGGGGAGCAGCAATCCTCATATTGCAGGTGTAGGCATTGTCAGGAGCGTTTAAAATTTCCAACTAGCTCGTTGCTCCTTTCAATTTTGTTGTACGGTTAAAAAAGGGGTTTTCGGTTTCGGTTTCGTGTTTGCAGTGGGTTTAGGGGGCTGGAAATGCGCAACCTAATATACAGTCTCGTTGAGGTTGGCCCAAAAAAAGGAGAGAAAAAAATAAAGCACACATATTTCGTGTTAAGTGAAATGGAAGGCTTAATATATTGAGACGGAGACAGAGACTGATGTTGAACGATTAGGGATAAGGATTGGTTTAGGTTTTTATGGGGAAAAGTAGTTTGGGATTAAGGAAAAACAAAGAAAATCTTTCAAGAATATTTAGACTGCCTTCTTGATTTAGGCATTATTTTTATAAAGTTTTAAAACCTTTTCGATTTGTTAAAAAGCATATTGAAATTTAAAATCACATAAAAGAAAGTTTTTTTTAATCCGAAAATCCTTTTAAACCGTATTACAAATAGAGAAATATATCTAGGAACCTCTTTTATAGCTACACTCATAGAAATTTTTACCCTAAATCGCCCTAAAAAACTGACTTTTCGCCCGTGGATTTAGAAAATCGCCCATAAATCGTATCCGCTGGCGATTCGCCCGTGTATTTAGAAAAATTTTCTAAAAAATCCCGATGGAAATTTGGTTTAATTTAGGGTGATTTTTCTTGAATTAAGAAATATTTTCCTGTTTTTAGGGTGATTTGCCCTAATTTTAAGGTGTATTTTTCTAAAATAAAGGGCGAATTTTCTATTTTTAAAGGCAAATGCCCTTAAAAATTAGACAAATTAAAAAAAATCGTGTTTGAGCATGCTTAACTGAATTTGGGAAGCATGTATTTAAATCGTGTATATTCTGGGAACTGGGACTGCTTTAATTAAACAACACCGGCGGAGGACACCGTTTCATATTATTGTATTGGTGTGTAGCTTATATGGGAGCTGCGCTAAGAGGGGGGCCCGATCTATACAGAACAGCCGTTAGAACTGAAAAATCATGTTTGTAAACGAATTAGGGAAATAAATATGAGGAGAAAAAACAACTTACTTTTTTTGGTCATTGCGAGAATCGAACCCACGACCTCTCGGTTTAGAGTCTAACGTCCTACCGCTGCACCACAGACCCATCGCGCAAGACGACGAACAAACTCTGCACACATCTTATTTTCTTGAGGTCTACGTTATAATTTGACAAAAGGCAACTAAACCGTATATTTTTTTCCTGACGACTGTGACAATTAGTCCCGTTTTCTTGCCCGCAAACACAAAGTATGCTTTTAACTCAGATTTCCCATACGTTTTTAAGGTTTAAAGACTACTTTAATTAAAAATTCGGACGAAAAAATGTCCTTAGTGTTTAGTCCTTATAATGTTTACAAAAAAAAAAACATAAAAATCAAGTTGAATCACACAGGGTTCGAACCCACAACCCCACGACCTTAGCATATAGCAAAGTTGAAAGCGCAAGTGATTAGACCGCTGGGCTACCGAATTTCACACTTTTGGAGTGATTTTTAAGGCGAATCGCCCTTGTATTTAGAAAAATTTTAGAAAAAAAATTAGGGCAATTCGCCGTTGGATTTAGAAAAGGTCAAAACGAAGCAATTCGAAAAAAATCGCCCTAAATATTAGAAAAATAGAAAAATTAACCCTAAAAATATTTTTTTATGGTTACCAGCCTTGAGTTTATGGCAAATTTGTCATGAAAATAGAAAATTTTTCTCAGTTCAACGGCGAAAATTTTTTTAGGGCGATTTTCTAAAATGTAGAAAATTATTTTTATGAGTGTACAGACTGAAAAACTTAAGTGACAAACCCATCCGCAGCACGTACTTCCTGCTAAACTTAATTTCATTCCCCAGTTCCCTCGTTTCGCTGACGTGTTGTCTTAGCCATATTGTATATCGCTCCACTTATATGCTGTCTGCGTTTCTCGTCTAAGTTTTTCCAGCTTTGTCATTGCACTTTCATTTTAAGCTGGCGCAAAAAGAGCAGATAGACAGACGGGCAAAATGTTGAACAGGCGTAATTCTGACGCTTATGCGTGCTTTGCAGCAACACTTTTCCCCGAGACTCAGCCTCAGCCAACCACCTGAGTTTTCCCCCCGGGTGCCATTTACATTTGCTAACGTACCATATCAACCTATTTTTCCGTTTCCACCTCTCTTTATCCACAGTCTCGCCCATGATTTGGGTGCCGAATCAACTTGTTGGCGCTCCATCCGGCACAGATGTAACCATCGATTGCCACACGGAGGCGCATCCCAAGTGAGTCTCCTCGGAGTGCCGTTCTTTTGCTTTTAGTTTTCCTTTTACTATACTTTTTTCAGATTATTTTTATGTAGCACACATTTAAGCTGTGTGACTGAGTCAGTTTATTTGGGATTTTATGTTGAACCTATCCTTTTTCTGTAAATCAAAATTGTAGAAAAGATTTAATTAAAAATATTTTAATTCATTTGGCATTTATTTTTAAATTTCAATTGATGCAGGGCAATACCAAAAAGTAAAATTTAAACTATTTCATAAAATGGAAAATGTAATTAAAATACTTTTAGATTTTAAAATCCTTTAATTTCTAAAATTTATTTTATCTCTTCACTTAATTAACTTAAAAGTGTTCAATAAATTAAATCTCAGTCAGCAACAAGTTTTTACGGTCTTTAACTTTGGTTATTGCATTTTGGTCCCAATTTTCTCCCTTTTATTTTCATTGGATTTAACAAATTTTACATTGCATCTGATTGCAGTTAGTTGTGTGTATACGTATGTGCACCCAGAAAACAAAATGGACTAAAAAGAGCCCTAATTACCTAAAATTTTAGGAAACATGGCCAAAAAAACGCGCCAAGGCCATGCATTACCTAAAATGTTGTCAATGTGGACTATATTTTTTACGCAGTCTTGAATATATTTCTGGTAATCGATACCTAAAAAATTGGCTAGTGGACTAGATTTTTAGGTCAAAATTACCTAAATGTTAGGTATTTTCAGAAAAGTTAACATTTTTACTATTGATAGTAACATATTTGTTTATTTTATTTGCCTATATTTTTTTTATTCGGATAAGTAAATATTTTAACTTTCTGAAAAAACAATCATTTTATTTTGTCCTCGGTAGGAATCGATCCCCGGTCTTCTGCGCGAGAGTCCAATAGGCTAGCCTCTGGTCTACGGAACTACTTAAAGGCCCTGCGGTAAAACCAAAGCCTGCTTCTAGAGGCACAGGCGAATTCTATTTTTAGAATAGGGCACCATTACCTTAAAAGTAGGAAAATAGTTCACGCTGGTATTGATTTTATATATTGAAACTTTTCCATCACTAGCTTTAAGATAGGTCTAATAAAATTTTGTAGTTATAAACTTAAAAAACCGAATAATTTGTTTATTAATATTAAGGACCAATAATTGTATTAAATTGCGGGTAATAATCGACTTCAAACTATTCCTAAATTTTAAGTCTTATGGACCAATTTTAAGGTTACGATGGCCTATAAAAATCTCTTTAGCTTTACCTAAAAAGTAGGAACATAGTCCACATGCTAATATTTTGAGGTAACCCATTACCTAAATCTGAAATTTTAGTCTATGAAAATTTTTTAGGTCATACATTACCTAAAAAATAGTCCCACATTTCTCTGGGTGTGGACATTCCAAATGCTCTGTGTGTCTCTGTTGAATTTTGCTCGTTCGATTTGCCTTTGATTTTGTTAAAATATTTACTTTTATTTGAGGATTTGATTAGTTTTCTTTTTTCCGTGCGCTTGTGTGTGAATCACATTTTCGTTTACATTCGATTTGAGTTTAATCGGTAATACTGAAATGTGTGTGTTTTTTATTTTTTCCCCTGCAGAGCCATCATCTATTGGGTATACAACTCGGTGATGGTATTGCCGAGCAAGAAATACAAAACCGACTACACGGAGAATTCGTATCGGTAAGTCACTTTAAAACTAAAACAAAAACAGAATAAGGAATGTATAAAAACAAACTGCAAGCAACATCGAAAATTGTGTTGTTAAATATTTATCATGCATGTGCACTTGCCTTTTGGGGGTCAGGTGCAAGTGCAAATGTTTTAGAACTTGAACACCCCCTCCCAAAAAATAGATAAGCTATTACATGGATATATCCTTAAGCTTAACGTATCCTTTTGCAGTGCCCACATGAAGCTGACGATAAGAAACCTACAGTATGGGGACTTTGGCAACTATCGATGCATCTCGAAGAACTCGCTGGGGGAAACGGAAGGCTCCATACGTGTTTACGGTAAGTGCATTTGTATTGGTAGCTTAAGTGCACTAGTTACGGCAAACATACAGATACACACACACTCTCTCACCCCGAGCAATGCAATATCGTTCGCCCTTTGTGGCACAATTTTGCCAAAAGCTTTTACCTATAGACCCGGAATCCACACGACCCTATATATGTGCACTATACGCTGTCCTCTGGAGCGTAAAACTAAACGAGCGGTGGCTCTCGGCTGGTGTCTGGCCCTATCTATCCACCCACTTTCCAACCCATCTCCAAAAAACCCAGTACCCAGTATCATCATACCCCGTGGCAACATGGAGACACATTCACCATAAACGTAAACGGAAAATAAAGGTGAATTTCGGAATTGTTTGACTTTGTATCGTTTGCTAGCCCAAGGAGTTTGCTAGCCCCCCCAACATATAGGTGTATATCTAGTCTGTATACATATGTAGGTACGTGGCTGCTGGCTGCATTTATTTATTTATTTTTTATGCAGTTTGCCTCTTTTCGGGGTTTTCTCCTGTTTACAAGTTGGCTGTGCAGATGTCAAATGCCAAAGATGTTTAGAATAGTAAAACACACGTTGAACTTGGCTTCTTAGTTTTTGTCTTTGACTTGGGGGTTTTTTTTAAAAGTTAGTAATTAAATATCAATATAAAGTGTAAAAGGAGTAACGAAAAAAGGACATACTGTTTAATAATAATAAAAAACCCATTTCATTTTATAAATTCTGTTTAATAAATTTATTAAACAAGTTATCCTAAAAAGCAGGGACCGTAAATAATCATTATTTGAGATTTTTCTTTTAAAAAGACTACTGTGATATTTTGTTTTAAACGTCAAAAATAACGTTCTTTTTACTCTTGTCCACAAAGTATATGCATTTCAACAAATCTGGAAAGCAAATTAACTGTTATTTGTTCATGTCTATAAAGTGCATAAAAACCAGTTAAATTGTTGATTAAAATATGCAAAAACCTCAGTAGGCCTTTTAAAATAAAAATCTCAAATAATGATTATTTTCGGTCCCTGCTAAAAAGTAGGCAACATTTTCGAACCCATCCATAAAGTCCAATGTTAAATTGCATTTAAAAGTTGATTTTCCAGTAATTACTATGATTTCACCGAGTTAAGCTTAGGAGCTTAATTGGGTTTATGGCCGAAGCCCACAAGGCTTTTAACTAAAAGTAAAATTTCTTTAAGTTATGCACACTTTGTGCCGAGATCGACTTGAAGCGAAGCTCGGAAAGTGTGCGTTTGACCTTAGCAGCCAGAGAGAAACCCCATACTTGACATAGTAAAACCAACCGACATAAACTCTGCCGGCATAATGTAATGAAAAACCATTTTGTATAATTTTGTATATGTATATTTTCCTTTGCGTTGGCCAACGTTGCTCGGGATGCCTTTCTAATTATTAATTATGCAATGTTATTCAATTCCATTTGCAGAAATACCTTTGCCATCCACACCATCCAAGCAGGTCACCCACACCACCGTCGAGTCCAGGGAGAGTAAGTATAGTATCAGTCGGAAAAGTGGGTGGAAAAGCGGGGGAAATGTGCAGAATGCTCCGTATTTGCGCTTAACACATTCAGCGTTGAGCGTGAAAGTCACACCGCACACACATACAAAGGGGAAGGATACAGGATACGGCGAGCCACAAACAAAACTGCGAAAGTAGCAGCTAAGCCAGACAGATCCACAAACAGAGGGGGCGAAGGGGTGGGACTTGGGGGTGTGGCACACGCCCACCGAGAGATAAAGTAAAGCACTTTTGACTATTTCAGCGACGGGGTTTTCCGCTTCCCTTCTTCTCCACTCACAGTCGAAGAAAAAGGCATTTCAATTGTACTTTCAATCTATCCTTTTCTTATAAATATCCTTAAAAATACAAAATAATGAAAAAAGTATTCGTATATTTAACCAATATTATTGCAATAGTTCAGCCTTAAATTAAAAGTATTTAAATATTTATAAACTACTTAAGATTATTTATGCTCAAATAAATCAGTTCAACACAATGTATCGTTATAGCCATAAATAAATATTTGAAACTATCATTAAATTTATCCAGGCACTGCAAAAAATATTTTACAATTATTAGAAGAGTTTTTAAATATTTAATACTAATAAAAGAAGAGTTCTTAAAGTTTTACATTTCAAAATGAGTAACTTACATATAAGGCAAATATTATTATTTAATATTATTTGTTATTATTATTTAAAATAATATTTTTTCTGAGTGCCTTTTCCCAACTCCTGTTGAAATTCAAGTCGAGCAGAAAAGTACACACACTTTCAAGTCTCCGTCCGGACTTGTGGCCGTGTCCTTTTCCCGTTTCCATTCCCGATCCCGAACCCCCTTCCCATTCCCATCCATGTCCAAGTCCTCTGGCTCTGGGCAAAGCAATATGCTGGGGATTATGCTGGGGGGCGAAGGAGGATTTTCGGGGGCATTAGGTTGGAAACACATTTGAAACACTGCCGCAGACTTTGAGCCCGTGAGCTGCAGAGCTGGAGAGCAGAGCAAAAGACCAAACATATTTTATTTAAAGTGACTGGCAAAGCAGCGCGCGAGCAATGCAACGGAACCTAATCCAGGAGTCAGCCAACAAAGGATCTTATTGTTTGTGTGTGTGGGTATGATGCACATGTGTGTATTTCTGCCTTTGTACGACGATATAAATTTTTTGTATCGCAGCCAAGATTTCCACGCAATTTAACTTGAAAACCATGTCGGACTGGGGTTAAGTTTTGTTTAAGAGTCCGCAACTTTTACTAGCCAATAGTAGTGACCCACAAGTGAGCAAACAGTAAACGACAAAGGAGTGAACTTTTTGTCGATTTCCGACAATTTGAAGTTTTTAGAAACTAATTTTGTAAGACGCGGATAAAATTAGAAAAGGTTTTTCAGGAGTTTTTCTGTGAAGTTTACTGGGTAATCAGAGTTTTAACATATGTTAAAATAGAATATTAAAATATAACATCGAGGAATCTATGGGAAATGGGAAAAATAATTTAAAATAATTAAATATTATTATAAATATAATATGATATCCACTAAGCTGATGCTAAATTTACATTTTTCAAAGAGTCCAAAACCTATTATAAAATTTAATAGAGTGGCTACTGTATTTTAGATCATTGAAATGTATCGTTCCACTTTTAATCCGCAGACAATATCATACCCTCGTCACGCAACGACACAACGAAATCCCTGCAAACGGATGTGGGATATGCCATGAAGAACGATTTATATCCTGGTTCGGCCTCATCATCGTCATCGTTGGGGGCCGGTTCCTCGGCGGCCTCGTCCTCGACCTCGATGCAGACCTCCGCCCTGCCAGGCGGTGCGGTGGGCAATAGTCTATCGTCGGTGGGTTCCAAGGGATCCCTGGCGATAGGGAAGAGCACGTTCTACACGGAACGACCTCCAAATGAGTACGCCTCGTCAGTGGGTAAGTCCTGAAAGGTCCTTAGCCTCTGAATGTTCCCATGTAAATCATATTTCCCCTCAGCTGGCCTGCTGCTTCATAGAGCCCTGCTCTTTGGCTCTGGAATCTATCTGACCCTGCTTTGAAATCAATAAATCGTTTGAGTTACTCAATAAGCATTTCGAAAATGCAGCCAAAGGGGGTCTAGCGAAAACAACACGGGGGATAGTTTAGGTACATCAACATATTTCATAGCGGAAAGTATATCAAAAAACCCAATAATAAACATAAACAAACGACAAATGCTTCAAACTTGGCTCACTTCAAAGCTATAGGAATTTGTAAAATTATAAAAACCAAAAACCAAAGGAGAAAAAGTATTTTGCAAAACAATAAAATGCTCATTGTATGTATAGTACTTATTAAATGCTAAGCTTAAGATAAACCACTGCTTCAATCACAGGAAGTGGGATGAAAAATTAATTGTACAATATATAAAATATATCTTAAATTTAAAGTAGGATTGAGTAAAAATTGTTTCTTTATAAGCTTTTAAAAGCAGAGCTTTTATCAAGCGAAAATGGTTTTATTTATTTATTTTATATTACAACTTTTACTTTGAACATATCTCTGAAAAAAATAAGCACTGAAATTTAACTTGCCCATATCATAATTAACAATGTACAATTTGCTTTTGAATTCAACATATCTTTAAATCATAACATTTCAATTTACTCTCGATTTAATTTTCAAAATTACTTTGATTATTTTTATGCTTAAATTAAATTTAATTACACCTCAATACCTCGACCTTAAAATCGGATTTCTTCGACAAACTTTTCTACCCTTTTTCTGAAATACATGCAAGAAATGCAATTTATTTAATGAATAAAAAAGTTGACGGGATGTCAAGTCAGCCGCGCCCCTTTGTTCGCCCATCGATGGCTCTCTGAACTTTGGTTGCTATGTGATATTTAAACGCCTTGAAAATGTCATTTATTTTAACAGTTTCCCTGCCGTCAAGTGGTATGGCAAAAAATTTGCAATAATAATTTGCAATACCCTGATTCCGTTTCCTGGCTTTCGGAAACCGCTCGTCATCGCCATCGCCGTCGTCGTCATCGGCTTTTGTGCACTTCCATCACTTTTTAATAAATGTGCATGCTAATTATATTATTACTCATACGACCCGTTGCCATGTGTCCTGTCTGTCTGCCTGCCTGTTTCGCCCTGCCTCGCCGTGCGAAATACTTGCAATTAATTTCAGCATAAAATTGCGTGGCCTGCGGTCCCTTGGCCCCGCACAATGACACACAGTTAACATGTCCAATTTATTGGCCATAACTCATGCCCGGCATCTCTTCGCCAAGGAGTGAGTGAGAAGGATCCCGGTATCCCGGGATCCCTGGAAACCCGGCCAATCCAGAGACAGACAGCCAACGCTATCGACGGGCCAAAGAAAAATGACATTAAGGCCAGAAGATATATGGCCCATTTGCATATACGGGTTCATGTATATGTATAAACATTCTAAGGGGGTTGCAGCAGGTTAAAGGCCTGCCAATTTACTGTATTTATGCCCCGGCTTCGTCGTTGCACGATTTTAATAATTCAACTTGTGTTGCATAAAGTTTGCATTGACATAAACATAATGAACGATGGAAAACCGCATGCGAAATTGCCTTTCTCCGTTGCCCTTTCGTTTATTAACATTGTTAATACCAAAAGGAGAAAAGCACATTCAGCAAGCGTTGAAAATATTGATAATCAACATTGTGTCGACGTTCCGACAATAACAAAATTAATGCATTTTATTTAATTTCCCCACGCAGACGGGTGAGAATTAAGGTCGCCAATGCAGTTAACTCGAACAATGAAGCTAATTAAGCATTATATATGTATATGCAGCTGAAAAGGCGACGGGCCAAGGATATGTGACAATCTTTAGGGAGTCGTATATTTATCCGTATTTATGCATTTATTATTTATTTAAATTGCTTACGAATAATGAACTAGATTTTCAACCCACCCCAGTTGGCAGTGCTCATTTAGGGCTTCAATAAACTGCTCGTCAAATGTTTACCGAATTTAACCGCACATTTTATTTCTAATTAGTAAATTGCGCTAATTAAAATTTCAGTTAGGTTTGTAAATAATACCATTTAATTGAGGACATAAAATTTTTGATGATGTAACCGAATATAGTTGTAAATAAATGTTGACCCTTTTGAGTTGCGTGTAAATATGACAAATAATAATTAATGCATCAAACACTCACTTTATAAAAGAACAATTGAAACAGCCAGAAAGTAATTACAAATAAATTAGTCAAAAAACTTTGGCAAATAAGTAACTATACCAAAAAAATAATTGTGTAAAGTTCATAAGGCTAGGGACATACATATTTAATTCACACTTGGCGAGTAATACATTTAATAACGTATATATAAAAACTACATATATAGCCTATACAAAGTAATTATATTGTTTGTTGCCTGTACTTCGAAAATTAGCTGAACATCAAATGAATAATATGTAAAGTGTTTAATGCTTTTTGTGCGAATACAAAAATAAATAACGGATGTGTTTTCCTATAAACAAGTTGACATTTTGTAAAATAAATAAAAGTAATATTATAAAAATAAAATTATATTTCTGGGAACTACTATATTGAATTCAATACTTTCTTTACTACGTCTTATATTTTTGAGATTCCAAGAATGTTATTTTATAAAACAAAAGAATTGTTTTCCTAATTTATATGAAGTAAGTTTAAGGTGAAATTCGATATTTATAAATATATTTTTTCAGTTCCAAATTTTTATTTATATATATTTTCATCTTAAATCAAAAATAAATTCCAGCTGAGTTATCAACGCTAAACTATTGTAAAATAAATCTCAAAGGAAAAACAAAATTAAGGTAAATTATACAAATCTACGATTAAGATTGATGAAACTAAATTGTAAGCAGTTATACTTATAATTATGCGATAATAATTAAACAATAAAACTTTAGGTTGATTGATACCAAAAAAAAAGCGAACCGAACAAAACAAACAAACTAAATGAACATAAATAACTGTTGTTTCATTTAACCATTTGCATTTAATTTTGGCTCTCAATTACATGGGGAAATGCCAAATGTTGTTGGCTTTTGGTTTTGGCCTGGCATTTATGCAAATTTCCTCTTTTTCAGAGTTTGACATTCGGCGGTTGGTTCTAGCAATCCTCATAGCCCAAAAAAAGCAACGTTAATGAGGGCGTTTATTTACACCAACAGCGAAATCCCACACATACACACACATGTGCACTGGAAATATTTTCGCTCATTCTAGAATTCGCTCTATAAAGTTTTCCTCTATCTGCAGTCTTTTTAGCTCCTTTTTCGCCAAGTGCCGAGCCAGCAGACCGCCAAACCTCAGTGTGCGTCTACTAATTGTTTGAGTCACGCAAACAAATTTCACACAAAATATGCTAAACACTTTCTGGGACCCGCAAATGAAAAATGTTTAATAATTTAATGTTATTTGCATAGATTTCAGCAGCTTGAGCGTTGACGTTCAGCAATTAGCCTCGACACGCACATTTTAATCTCCCCATTTAAGGCTGAGTAACTTATCAAAAATTAGCAAGATCAAAAGCGATGGGAAAATGTATTAAGAAGTTTTTTAAATTTGTTCTAATAAAAAATTGCAGAACTGATAATATTAGTAAAACATCTTATGATAGCCTCAAGTAAGCAAAAGGTAAGCAAAATTAAAAAATATATCACAAAAAATATTACTAGTAAAACAAATGGAATTCATTATAATTGCCATCACTGAGGATACCAAAAACGTTTTGGTCGGAAAATCCTCTGCGTATACATAATATTTCGTTGGCATTCCCAAAGTTCCTCACACATCTGTGTGGGGTAACCACTTGGGCACACTAACATTATCATAATTACAGGGCTTTCGGAGGGAAAATGGGGATTCAGCGGGGGCGGAGAATTTGGGGACCGGAGACACCTTGCACTCTTATCTGAAATGCCTGCTTTGCGGCACTCGAGAAACTTTTCAAAAGTCATTTAAATTATGCGCACAAAAGCGCGAAAATTATGCCATGGCGAGACGAAGATTCAGACGCCACTTACAGCCGCATATATATGCGTATTATATAGGGTGAAAGGCGCAGATAGAGACAGGGAGATAAAGAGGAAGCGAGACAGAACCGGAAACCACATTTGTCGGCAAAGTTTTGCCTACAGCCAGCCTCTCATCCACATTGCAAAAATAGTTGAGTGCAAAAGCGTGGAGCACACTTAAGATAAGCTTGGAGCGCAAAACTTTCATCTTACAAAATACGCGAAGCCCCCTTCTCATTCTACGCCCCTGGCCCTTTGAGAACGCATTCAACAAATTAATTCTGGCTTTGTCGCTGCAGGAAATATGTTTAATTTCATTTAAATGCAGTAAGTGCAACACTTTGGTTAGCTTTTGCTTGGGCCCTGAATGAAGTCGAGTGGCGGGGTTTAAGGCAGGATGTTTGGTCGGGCTGATAGAAATCTTTTCGTTGAAGTTCTTTTGGTTTACATTTTGTGCGGGCTGGCGGTAAAGAGCTCTGCAAAAAGGTCTATATTTTTGTTGACTGAGATTCCCTACATGTGTATTGTAGAACCTTAAAAGTGAGGGAGTATAAAAAGTAGAGAGGCGTTAATTAGTTTGACTTGGATAAAGTTGTGGCAAACGGTTTAATTAAATCCGAGTAGCTGGATGTAACGAAGGTTATATGAAGATTTCAAGTATAAATACTTTTTGATCTAAATTGAAATCTAAGAAACATTCGTTATGTTTCGAGATTGTTAACATCAAAAGAAAAGTTAATTTTTTATTATTTAAAACTTTACTTCTTACGTTTTTTTATGAAATGTTTTAAAAAAAAGATTGTCAGTTCGTAACACTTTTCCCTTAGTTTTGCGTGTACTCCATCAATAAATCTCATACTAAGCGAACTTACATCGACATATCCATCATTCTGACTGCAAACATGGGACCTTATTCAGTCCCCGGACTATTCAAAGTTGTCAAAGTTCATCAGCAACGAAAATCATTACAAAATCACAACTTCGTCGTCCTCGCCAATTCTAGTTAGAGTTCAACTTTTCAAAGTTAGTTTTGTGTGCTTCCCTTTTTTTGTGTG